AAAATGCATTTAATATACAAATGCAAGTAGGTTTGTTATATTTAAAATTTCTATTTTATTTGAAGTTCTATTGAAATTAAATCTAATGAAAAAGAAGTGACACTTGTTTTTTGCTCCTATCATGGTTGCAATTTTACATTTATTTATGTGATTACCTAATTCTTTCTTGCCAACTACATCAAAATGTACCACATCCACTCTTTACCTGACATATACTAGGTTATCAATATGTACTTGATGAATCAATGAGTGATGCACTGGTGTTGATTGTAACCAGAAAGTCATAAGCACGCAGATTAATGTAGCCTTTGATTTAGGCCGGAGTAGCAATGCTGGTGGTATCTTACACAAAGAGACTGAAGATGGAAAAAGGAGTTACGCCTCACTTGCTGGAAAGGATGAATTTGCTTGTACTAGACTTGGTGATTTAAGTCAAGGCCAGGTCTGATCCAAAAAAGAGAAGATGCCTACATAGCTTAGTAGTAGAGCTCCCACGGGTTAGATCCCAGTACCCTCCCACACACAAATATGCACACTACATAATAAATGTAAACAGAAGTTTATAATCACAATACTGTGATAAATTTCTATAGGTAAACACCTAATTCTAGAAAATTCAAATGCTAGAAAGTAAAGGAATTCACACTGTTTTGTGCTCTGTCACCAGAATAAAACTTCAAACATACTCACTACAGAACAGTTTATATCACCTCTTTCCCTTTAGTCCACTTTGATTTTATCTGTAATTGGTAGTTTTAGGGACATAGAGTCTTTTTCCTTCGTTTGATTTGTGGTAATACTCAAGCTACTGCCTTGCTGAAACATTCTTTACATATATCTAATATAAATTATTTAAAGGCAAATAAAGCATGTTTAAAAGCAGAAAAGCAAAACAAGTAGAGCAATGCATTAACTAAGTGGTTGTTTGCAAGGTACTGAAAGTCCAGAGATTTTGTCAATTCTCCAGAAGAGAATGTATGGCAGTTTCTTAACTGTAAATTTCTTTTCTCTGGACCTCAACAGATCTGTAGCAGAACAGCTGGGTAGTTTAAGCAGGCATGTTCTTGGACCCAGACCTTTAGCATCCCCAAGAGGTGATAACAAAAGATCTGAATTTTAATAAGCTCCCCAGGTAATTGTCACACAGAAGGTTTAAGAACTGCTGGTCCTGGAAGAGCAACAGATCAACAGAGGGCATAAGACTGTGTCTGGGGAAAAGTCAGCATTATATTATAAAAGTGAGAAGGGAAATGTACAAGAGACCAAAATAGCAACTGGAATCAGGGCACTGCTTTTATGAGCTGAGGAAAATCAAAATTTAAGACCAAGTAGATGGTCAAAAGTGTGAAATGTAACAGAAATATCATGAATAAAGATGGACAAAAGTCACTGAATATGGGACAAAGGTCGGGTGTGGCCTTTGAGCATATTTCTAGTAAAGTGATGACAGAATGCAGGTTTTTCTGGACCTTGACCTGTCCTTCAAGATCCAACTCAAAACAGTGCCTCCCAGCGCTGCAGTTCCTGACTCTGCTGGACAGGGTCCATGAATCAGAGTACATAATTGTATTACACCAATTCATCTATTGCACTGAAGTTCGTTTACCTGGTCTTCTTCATTTAGACTGAACTCAGGAGCTGTGTCTTTTTCTCTATTTTTGTGTCTTTTGTCAGCTTTATTGAGATGTAATTGGCAAATTAAAACTCTATGTATTTATGGTAAACAACTTGGTGTTTTCATAAGTAGCTGTGTCCTGTTCCCTTTCAAATCTCTAGTGTCTCGCTCACTACCTGGAACACAGAAGATATCTGTCAATGTCTGCCAAATGAATGACTGGAGGCAAAGGCCACAGTCCTGAAGTGGAAGTAGATGAATTTTATATGTTTGAAAGCAAATGAGATCAGAACAACTGATGCTGCTTGGAACAAGGAGTAAGGAGGGAAGCAGTTCTTACAAAGCATAGAAGAGATGTGATTAAAAGCACAGCTTTCTCTTCAGAAAGCAGGAAACACAGCCGGGCGTGGTGGTGCATGCCTGTAATCCCAGCACTCTGGGTGACTGAGGCAGGAGGATCACCGAAAATTCGAGGCCAGCATGGGCTACATAGTGAGTTCAGGGCCAGCCTGAACTACAAAGGGAGACCCTACCTCAACAAAAAAAAGAAAAGAAAAGGAAAAACAAAGCAGGAAACACAGTTCTCCTAGTCTTGAAGGAAGCCTAATAGGGTTGGTGTACAAGATAAAGTAGATAGATGGCCCTTTTCTAAATAAGCCGCAAAGTTAAGGCTTTTGGTGAGAATGAGGTACAAAAAGTAGGATCTGTAGCCTGAAGAAAAAAGAGTACAAGAGTATTGGTAGGAGTATACCAGTGAATCATTAAGAGAGTAATAGATTCCATGCTATATTCTCAGGCATTAACAGCAAGCATCTCACTCCTTTCTGTAGTCTTTGAAATAACAGACTGCATCTGTCAGTCATGCTAATTGGAACTGGATACCAGACATGGGGTCTGAAAATACCGAAGTCACTGATCTCTTCCTCTCCTGAACTCTCTCCACATTCCCTTTTCAGTGTTTAAGGCACTCACTGCAATGCATCTCCTATCATAGCTATTTGTCTTTTTCTTGCTAGACTCTATAAAGAGTTGAAGACAAGAGTTATATCTTATTCATTGTGCTGTACCTTAGCGTAGTACTTTGTACATAATAGTTAGATGTCTGTATTAGGCACATACCTCAAATATAGCATTTATCACATCATATTGTATTTGTTTGCTTGTCTGTCTCCCCTTTTAGACCATGAGTTCAAGGCAGGGACTGAGTCATATTGATCTATGTCTCCCTTTGGGACTTGGTAGTTTTGCAAATGTTTATTGAATCCAATTTTGTTGAATGTGTGGATGAAAGAATGACGAAAACAGAAAAATATGAGGATTTGGGGGTGACATAAAAAGACAACACACTGCACAGGCACTGCATTTTGTCACTTACATAACCATCTGTCTCAGCCTGACATCAGTAAGCCTGTAAAGCTGGCAGAAAATGACGCTGGGGTACCTGTTTCACATACACTATAATGTTCGAACTATACATTCTGGATCTTCTTATGCAAATCTCTAGCCACCTGTTTACAGCACAGAGCTTCGGTAAAAGGACTAAGAGTTCCTCAAAGCTACATGATGGATTTCTCTTCCCTTGTTGGGTACCTATTTGAATAGGATCAATGTTATACCACTATAGTAACTGTTTCCTTGTATATTATAATTTAAAGATGACATTGTAGTGAAAAATAATAGGTTGATGCAACATTGTAGAAACAGCATAGTATAAGTCCACCCCATTGCAAGAAAAAAGCTACTTGAAGGCAATCTTTAAATGTTCACCCGTTTGTTAGGGTTTTTTCCCCATCTTCTTTTTAAAAGATTGACGTACATTCTATTAGTCCAGTAGAAAATAACAAAAGCCAACCCTTACAGAGGGCATACTATGTGACGGGCATTATTCTATGTAAGTTACACACGTTAATCTCATTCTCAGAATCACCTTTTGAGATGGGTACCACTGTGATCTCCATTTTGGACGAGATGAATCTGAGGGACAGAGAGGTAATTTAATGTGATCAAGGTCACAGAGCTAGAAGTAGAGGAGGTGATTCAAACCCAAGCAGTCTGGCTTCTATACAGCTAAAAAGAAAGCGCTCGTTTCAGTGTTTAGTTTACCTGTGCGTGTTTTAAAGAAAATTCCTTATCTATTCTTAATATGATAATCCCAGCATTTGTAGAGAGCCTGTTTTATGTCAGGTGGGATAATACACGTTTTAGCTGCATTCACTCATTCTTCACAATAAACCCCGCAAAGTACTACTTTTATCCCCACTTTAAGGCAAAAAAAAAAAAAGACTTTAAGAATCAAAGGTTAAGATGATTCCCCCTCGGACTGAAATGCAGACAGGTTCACTCCACTGCAAGCTTCTGAGTCTTTCCCAGTAGTGAAAGGAGAGGAACGGAGGACCTCAAAGCCACAGGAATACAATGAAATAATGGATGTGAAAAGGCCTCGGTGAACAAGTGCAAGGAATAGGGCCTTCCCACTCGAATCACTGTCGAAAACTGGCTACCCAGGGTCCCTGCCCAACGGTTTCTCGTCCCAACCCTGCCCCTTCTGCTCCCAACCCACGGCGATATCTTTGAATCTCTTTCTCCATCTCCTTCGATCCTGGCCCCAAACACTTAGCGAAGCGGCAAAGCGGAGAACAGAAGGTACGCGCGCGCGAGCAGAAGGCGGGGCCTGCCGCCCTGATCCGTACAGGGGTGGCCTATACACATGCGCCGTGGCCCTGTGGCTTCAACTGCCCCGTCTCTGTGGCCAATCAGGGTCCGCGGCGCGCTAGGGACGTATCAACGCGGTGTGGGTCGTGTGCGTGCAAGGGGGGGCGACGTAAGGGTGCTTCGCGAGCCCGTCTCTCCTCGAATGAAAGGAAACAACCTCCGGCGACAGAGACCCGCTCTTAGGCGCTGCCGGAGAACCCAGACCGACTTCTTTCTCTTTCCCCTCATTGGCGCTTCTCTCTGCCCTCCGACTCTAGGTCCGGCTGGTGAGTACCCGCGGAACCCCGGGGCCCCCCATTCTCTACCCCGCGGGAGAAGACAAGGAGGATGGCGGTAGCCAGGCCGCCGCCCCTACCCGTTGTTGAGGGGGGACTCTTGGTGGTCTCTCTTTATTGTCAGGGACCCCAGAAGCGCCGCGCATTGTAGGCACTTGGCAGAGAGGCTGCTGAGAAAGTGCTTTGGAGGTGCAGAGAGAGAGAGGTTACGCTTAAGCCTATACTTCGGGGGGGGGGGCGCAACATTTGAGGAGGGAAAAACTGGGAAATTTTAGTCTTTGCTATTGCTTAGGACATATTTGGGAAAGAGGGAGGCTTCTAGTTTGGGAAGAGGAAGAGGAAGAATTTTTAGGACGGCAAGAAGGTTAGCCCTAGGGAATGAGGAAAAACTCTGGGGTGAGGGGATTAGGGGCGAAACTGATATAAAAGGTGAAGACTATTAGATATTAGAGGGCGATCTCTTTGGGGAGGCGGCATAAAGAAAGTGGTAGGATGAGTTTTTCCTGGATTCAGGGGGATCGGAAAAGGACAATTAGGAGATCCTTACTTTACGACGGAAAGGAACCTGCTGAAGTGTTTTAGAGAAAGATAGTTTTTCGAGTTTATCTAGCGCTTGATTAGAGGGCGATCTTGGCGTCTAGTGAGCGTCAGGAAATAAATAACGGAGAAGATCGGTGTGTTTTATTTACCATCCTTTATTATGTGGACGAACAGTGCGGTATTTTGGAATTTCCATTTGTTTCAGTATTCTGCGTGGAAGTTGAAAATCTTTTGTTTTTTGAAAAACCTTTTATTTGCATCTGCTTACAGCGTAATATCGGGTCTTACCCATACAGTTCAAATTCTTTCTCTTCCCCTTGGGTTTGAAACAACTGGAAAATTCCTTTAGTTTCCTTTTGAATAACCGCAAAAAGCAGTGCGAAGCATTTAACAATATCGTGCGGCCAAATTCAGGTGCCCTTCCGGTACATCTCTTACTCGTTTATTTCTCTCCACTGTAACTTTCCTGACAGAAATACCGTCTTTTGAGGATCGCGTTTATATATTTTTGATCTGTATATTTCAGCTTGCTTGCGCGTGGAATGTTTTAATGTTACGGAACTGCAGTTTTTGTTTTGTTTTGTTTGTTTTTCTATGAAAATGCTCTCAGATACCAGGCATTGAATGAGCTCTCGAGTTGGTTCTTGACTGCTCTCCTTGATGTTTCAGATTATTTCTACCTTGGTGCCTCACAGCATCTTGGAAAATTGGAAGCGCATTGATTGCTTCAGCCTAATCTGGCTTTTATATTTTTTCAGATATTTAAATTATGTTTTTCACGCTATTATTGTTGCCTCTTTTATTTCTGCTTAAGGAAAAGGCTCATTGTTGGGTGAAAGTATCAAACTTTGATCTCTGCCTGCCCAGAAAAACCTTTTAGACTAAAATTAAAATGCCATGTAGCCGTGGATCATTATGAACCCCTTAGTATTGATCCTCGGAATGCCCTCGTTCTACGTAACTAGAGACCACAAATGTGACAGCGTTAGATAAAAATCTGTATTTTTATGATAAAGACATTCTTGCTAGGAGTCATTGTTTCCATTATGTTCTCCACTTCATGTTTTATAAGGAGGCTGTGAAAAAATAGCAAGATACGCACAGTTGCATTATTTGAATTTTAGTGGAAAAATCCATTTAGTCATTGCACATTGGGGAAAGTTTTTAATTGGTTTGTTGCACTTTTTGTATGGCTCTGTTCACTTTACACATTAAATTAAGACTAAATATAGAAAAAATACGTTAGAATATTTTTGCATGTAAAAATAAAGTGTACCTTTTTTCTCTTTTAGATCTTGGAGTCTTTGATATCTAGAGAAGCAGGTTCTCAACTAAGATAAGAAATGTACCTTTTTATAATTTGAAAGAGGCAGAATTCAATATGAATAGAATTTGGGGGATACCATTTGACAATTAATTTTGAAAATAAAAAATGATTTTCCACTCTAGGAACTTTCTTTTAAGCCAGTTTTATAACCAATGCCAGGATTGTACAGAAATTACACATTAAAGATGTCTGTACAGATTAGATTTATAATGTGCCACCCTTTTAACTTGCCTGCATGACCGAGAGAAATGCTGAATACATTACAGTGTCTTCAGAGTGCCTCTTATTCATTGCATGGTAGTAAAGAAAAAAAACTAATTTAGAACTCAAACAGCAGATTTTGCTGCTATTTATGAATCTTGAAATTTTGCACAGTTAATTCTAAAAATTTGGGTAGCTATATTCTTGATAAAGCAACTGAACACATATTTGCCTGAGCAAAGGCAGACACACTTCCTCTTTTGTTTCTTTTGTTTCTCTGTTATGTCTTTTTTTCTTTAATCTTAAAAGTATTTACTGCCTGCTTTCAATCAGTTTCATGGTTTATAGCCAGTGCTTTGAATTCAGTATTGTAAAGTATCTGATGGCACTTGGAAGACTGAGATACAGTATTTTAAATTATAGATAACATTAAGAGTTTGTTAAACCCATCAAAGCAGAGACTATAAGGGCCTTACAAGATTTGTTAAAAAGAAAAGCCTAGATATAAATTAATTGGAAGATAATGTTTTCTTTGTGCCTTCATGTGAATTTTGATTACATATCTGAATTTTTATACTGCTTAGCAATGAATGTTTTATAGATACAGTGTTACCTTGCTGATACTGTATTTGTTGGTGAACAAATGCTTCTCAGAAAATTACAGTGTATTGTTTGTGAGTCAATTTTGTCAACAGTGTTATGAAAATGTACAAATATATGGAAAATGGAAAGAATTTAATAAATTAATTTTAAGACAAAAGTTTGAGATTTTATTGTGATGTGTATTGTGGCAACTTGAGTCTTGAACTGCTTAGTTCTGTTGACTTCATAAAACTTCACAAATCAAATAACCTATTTTAAATTTGTCCAGTTTTGTTCTGAAGAATCTATGTTGAGAATGATGATCTCAATTTGAAACCTGTATTAGAGCTTTGCTTCCCTTTTTCTGTTTGACTATACCATCTATAGTTACGATTTGATCAAATTTAAGGCTCATTCAGAAAAATTTTCCTTTCATTATACAGTATTACTAATTTACATATGGAAGTTGACTGTATTTAGATCATTCTCTGTTAATTAATAAGCAGATTTGGAGTACATTCAAGTCCTGTAATATAGTTTTATAAATATTGTGTCCTAAAGACTGCATTTTTAGATAGACTGTTATAAGCTTAATTTTCTCTTTACTTGAAAAAGGAATAGAATAGCAAAAATCCTTTAAATTTAATGTGCATGATTTTTTTAAACTTGGAAGTAATTTAGATTTAAAAAATAAGCATTCCAAAGTCATGATTAAGTGAATTTATTTACTTTTATTGTTTTATCAATATAAGAACTTTAAAAGATTGTGCAGTTATACTACTCTATTCCTTCTGACTATTTTGTAGTTTTCTTAGTAGTATTTGCTCTATTCTTAGGTATATAATTCTGTCTCTTTGAAGCAGCACCTAGCTATATTTGAAAATTGTTAATTTTTCCAGCAGATGATGATTTAATATTTGTGTTTTTTATTCACACAGAAATACTTTTACGTGTTTCACACATCCCCTAATTTGGGAACAGTTTGATTTTTCTCATTTTATTTAGTCCTTTCTCTTTCTCTCTCTTTTCCTCCCTCCCTCCCCCCATATATGTATAAAAAATGGAGGCAATTTGGGCTTTAATGTTAATTTATCTATAATAACCATTTTAAGTGCATATGTTAAAACCTAGGTCAAACATTAAACTACTTACATGAATATGTATAAACTAATTTTAAAATGAAATTAACTATTTTGTTGCCATTCTTATTCTCTGTAGCATTTCTTGAGACTTAAAGTGGCATTCTAAAGGCAATTTAAAAATCATGTCAAGCTCAGTTGAACAGAAAAAGGGGCCTACAAGACAGCGCAAATGTGGCTTTTGTAAGTCAAATAGAGACAAGGAATGTGGACAGTTACTAATATCAGAAAACCAGAAGGTGGCAGCACACCATAAGTGCATGGTAAGTATGCTGGCCACGGCCAAGAGACCTTGAAACCGTTTATGAGAGAGAATCTTAATAACACATGAATATTCCTGAATACTAAAAAAAAAACCACACTCAGTTAAATTTTTAAGAAATGGTTTGACACTAATGTATGACATTTTACTACAGAATTTCTTTTTAAATTTAACATCTTATTCATTGTTTTACTGTAATTTACATATGAACCTTAATTTTTTCAAATGTAATTTATAGCTCTTTTCATCTGCTTTGGTATCATCACATTCTGATAATGAGAGTCTTGGTGGATTTTCTATTGAAGATGTCCAAAAGGAAATTAAAAGAGGCACGAAGCTGGTAAGTTGGTATTTCTGCCTCGAGTATAAAAATTATTTTAAACTCATTAAGGAAATTGCTTATTTTAGAATGTATTGCGGTATTAACTGAGTATAATTTTAAATTGCAGACTTTTTTCTGAGCTAGCAAAATCCAAGGCTGGATTTAATTTATTTACCACTCAACGGAAGGAGTGAATCAGTATCTATATTACTCAAATATTTTTCTTTTCAAAAAAATTAAAATCTTCTTAAATACTATGTTTACCTAGGAAATGAACAGTTTGCTTGATTTGTATGTATTGTATGTTAAAGTGTTCATTCAAGTATATTTTTCATAATTCTGGTATGTTTTCCTCCTCAATCATAAAATTATTGTGGTTATTACAAATGAAGGTGATAGTACCCCTCAAAAGGAAAATGTTAGCACTTGCAGAATGAAGTATTTTAATGTGGTTCAGCTGTATGGCACAGTTTTCATGACTTTGACAACCTCTGGTGAATTTTTTAAAGACCTTCACTGAGTGGTAATAGTTCTTCATTTTTAGTTTTTTCTTTTTTTGCGACAGGGTCTCCATATGTAGTTCAGGCTGGCCTTGAACTCACTGTGTAGCCTAAGCTGGCCTCGAACTCACGGTGATCCTCCTGCCCCAGCCTCTCAAGTGCTGGGATTACAGGCCTGCGCTACCACGCCTGGCTGTCAACTTTTGGTGAATTTGAGTTTTTCTAAAGCTGTGCTAGAATAAAAGTCCTATAGTTGGCTTCACTACCTATAGCTAGGCTGCAAGATACTCTGTTATTCTGTTGGAAAAGTAGTGTCATTTCAATTGCTACTTATGACACATGGTTTACTTTGAATCATTTAATTAATGGAAAGACTTATTTTCATTTGCTTATTGCTCTTGTTTGAGCTTTTTATTGAAATTACATCCATAAATGTACATTCGGTAGCTTCACTATCGAGAATTTCATTATTTTAAAGTAGATTTGGCAGAACATTTATCTGTGTTCTTAGGCCCTGAATAACCTTTTATTTCACAAAAAAATTCTGAGGTGGTAATATTGGATGAAATGGTTGGATAATTAGGAGCAGTATATTTTGAAAAGTAGTCTTATTGGAAAAAAACAATATGAAGAAATGTAAGTTCAAAGATAACATTCAAAATTTGCTTTGAGATATGTAGCCTCAAATTCTAGTGTCAGCATTGGTACAAATGAAAATGCAGAGGTCAGACTATTTTTGTTGTAGTGAGACCTTAAGTCTGAAAGTGGTTATCTTCCCTACACATAAAATTGCATATAGTAATAGAAAGCTCCTTTTTTTAAAATGTGATTTTTATTTGATGGTTTTAGATTTCTTTGTTTGACTATGGCATTCCAATTTTTAAGAACCAGAGCACAATGGTTTGATTTCCTGGTCTTTAAAACAAATTCAGATAGGAGTGGGGATTTAGCTCAGTGGTTCCGCCTCCTGCCTCACAAGCGCAAGGTCCCGAGTTTGATCCCTGGTACTAAAAAAAACCAAACAAATTCAGATGTAAAGAAAGAGTACTATTCACTCATAAGTACATAGTGCTATAAGCCTTTTACCCCATTACTTATTCCTTGGCATTGTGAATATATCTTGAAAATGCTTCTTCATCCTGACTTGTTAGCATTTTTGTCACTTGATGTGGCTCCTATAGTCAGAACAGGAACAGTTTTGGTCCCTAATGTTGAAATATTAGCAAATGTAGCCTAGTGTTGCACGTTACATGAAGCATCAGCATACATCGGTCAGTATTACTAAATTCAATGGAGATTTAATTTATTTGGACCTGTTTGTAAAGAAAACATCTGAACTTTGTACCAATTTCACTATTATAAGTTATTTTGATTAATTTTAAAGTTAAAGTATAGGCTGTTAATACCCCCTCCCCCCGAGTTAGTGTGTAACTAAGCTTGTTCCTTCATCTGGTCTAGAAAGTGGAAGAATATTGGGGCTTAAGAGTAGAGGTACAGTAACAGACTTGAGTTTGAATCCCAGCCCTGTCACTTATTAGCTGGGTCACCCTCAGGAGGATATTTACTTCTCTAGCCATGTTTTTTCTTACCACAAAAAGGGAGTAATGACAGTACCTACCTCACAGAAGTATTGCCAGGATTAAAAGAGTATATATAGGCCTGTGCATAGTTCTGGGCATGTAGCTAGGAGTTGATAAATGGTAGCCATCACTGTTGTTATTGCTTATAAATAAAAATAAGGTCCTGTTGTTATCATTGTAGGCTAATGAAAAGCTTACTGAGCTGACAAATCAAGGACCTAATTTTCTTGGTGCTGAAGACTGAACCCAAGGACTGATGAATGCTAAGAATGTATTTTTTTTTTTTGCTAAGCATGTATTTTACTGCTGAGCTATACCTCCAGCTCCAGCCCCAGGGCCTATTTTTTTAATAATTGCCACAGACACATTATGTAACCTTAAACAAATCATTAATTTGTCTTTTCACCAACTGTAAACAGATAATGCTGTATCACTGCTTATTAAACAGTAATGTTGCACGACTAAAAAGGACTATAAAAAAGATTCACCTTAGAAAAAGTGTTTTGGAAGCAGTTTGACACTGTGGGCCTCTAGCATTAAGGAATACCCCCAGAAGGGGGCCATTTCTGAGCCTGGGCATATAATTTAGCTCCCTTTCCTCTCCTCAAAATGTCAGAATTTAAATGGCTTGTGTAGGGGATAGGAGGGCTACATTTATATGTTCCACTTTGAAATCATTAAAGACGCCTCTTCACCTTCAGTTTTGCTCTTTCCATTACATTGTTTTTTTTAAGCGCTACCAAGTAACCAAGATTTAAGTCTTCTTCATTTTTCTCTGTGTAGATTTGTCTAAGTAACAAAAGGCCATAAATCAAATAGGGAGAAAAATGAAGAGCTTTCTGTAACTAGACAATCTACATGTAAACTACATAATCAACTTCCATAATTGACTTTTGAAGGCATTTTGTCGTGCAAGCCTGTTTGCCCTGGGTCCTGTTCATCTACATTTCTAGGTGCACAGTAGGTCATGAATACCCATTGAAAATAATAGAAAAGAGGAACACTAGCTCATGAGTGCTTTCAAGACAAATTCCAGTCTGTACCTGTTGTTGGTTCCAAAGGTGGTCACTTACCTCAAAGAGAACGACATAGAGGAGAGGCTGGGGCTTGAACTGGAGGGGTACAGGCAGTCAGATAGGTCAGAGTCTTACACTCAGTAGGGCAGGAGGTACAGGCATGTAGTTCCTGTGTTCTTGTAGCCATGGGCAGTTATCCAAGTTTTCACACAGGGAGCAGAGGAGGGAAGAAACATCCTTCATGAATGTTTTCATCTCTTTTCTATCATCTTTAAATACGTAGCACCAAGATGAACCAGGGAAAATTTGCCAGAGTACTAAGGCTTGTCATTTGAGGCCCTGATTTTGTATTTTTGACAGATTGTGTGTGTGTGTGTACATACATAATTTTTCCAGAATGATTTCTAGTTCCTACTGAAGCATATGATGACACCATACCTGTACCATCTATTCTTACTCTTTAGCCATCAAACCAAGAATTACAAATATCCAAGTAAAATTATGAGTTTCCGTTGCATTTTAGAATTTGTCTGAGAAGACAGTTGAGCAGTATATTTGAAGAACGTACTCTTTTTGGGTGAAGCTAGTTGGTGAGGTCATCAAGAAGACATACATCAGGTAGCTACTCTTACTAATTGCTCCCTATGTCAGGTATATCAAAGATCGAAAAAACAGAGACAGTTAAGGAGGCGCTTTAGTTCACCTTTCTTACCCTTAGGCAGTATTACTGACAAATCATCCAAGATAATATTTTTGCCTGCCTTGTTCTTTTTTTTTTTTTTGGTACCGGGGATCAAACTCAGGACCCTGTGCTTGCGAGGCAGGCGGCAGCACCGCTGAGCTAAATCCCCAGCCCTGCCTTGTTCTTAAATATGTCAGGAAATTGTGATTCTACTTCTGTAATCTAAAACAGAACCAAAAATATATAATATTCCTCAGAATTGAGAAATTCATTCCTCTGTATAACTCAAGTATCTCTCAATTTAAAGCCATGTACTGTAGGTTTCATTTCTTCCATTAAACAACAGTATATGGGTTTTTTTTCTCTTTATTTTAAAAAATCCTTCATATACTTGATGATCATCTTTAGGTCACTCCTAAACTATCCATTTTGCAAACTACATTTTACTCACATGTCTTATGAAGTTTTCTGGACCAGTGATGGTGAACCTTTTAGAGCTTTCACTCGTAACAAACAGCCCCACTGTGGCACATGTGCCATAGGTTCACCACTACTGCATCTGGACATTTTTCCTGTTTTTCATAGAAGTAGCTAACATTTCTTGAAGACTTAATATATGTAAGGGACTAGGCTAAGTATTTTTAAAAAATCATCCTGTTTAATCTTCACAGTCCTACTGTGAGATGGGAAAGTATTGATTCACACATTATACATAGGGAAACTGAGGCTCAGAGAAGTTAAGTAACCTAACTGGTCATATAGCTAGTAAATGGCTGAGCTGGGATTTGAATCCAGTGCTAATTGACTCCAAAGCCAGAACTCCTAATCAGGTTATACTAGACTGTCTTTTAAGCTACCTAACCAAAAATCACATTTTTTAAATGCAATGATTAGAGCTTAGTACAGTAGTTTTCTAATAAAATGGAAATAGTGCTAAATTTAGGTCATACTCTGACTCCTGTTAATTAATATGTTGCATTAATAGCATTATTTTGTTTATTTTTAGGACAAAAACCCTATATTCATCCTGTATATGACTATTCTGGGTTTTTTTTTGGTGCTGGAGATCGAACTTAGGACCTTGCGTTTGCTAGGCAGCCGCAGCACCACTGAGCTACATCCCCGGCCCCATAACTGTTCTGTTTTTATCCTCAAGGTATTTCTATAGCCTCTGAAAATGAAAAGACTAATTCTACATAGTTTTGTTTACTCAGTACCAATGGAGTGTATAGCACTCCAG